CAGAGATCGGGCTCAAGCAGGACCTGAAGGCACAAGTAAGTTGCATGAGGAAGTGGCCCAAATGCCTATGGTCTCCACTCCAGTCACATTACCTTCCCTGTCCCACTCTGCACCTATGGCTTCATGGGGAGTTCCTTATGATCAGTTGACTGAGGAAGAGAAAACTTGTGCCTGGTTTACAGATGGTTTGTGCGATATGCAGGCACCACTTGAGAGCGGACAGTAGTGGCACTACAGCCCCTTTCTGGGACTTCCTTAAAGGACAGTGGTGAAGGGAAATACTCCCAATGGGCAGAACTTCGAGCTGTGCATATGGCTGTTCACTTTGCATGAAATAAGAAATGGCCAGATGTGTGATTATATATGGATTCATGGGTGGTGCCTAATGGCTTAGCTAGATGGTCTGGGACTTGCAAGGAGCATGATTGGAAGATTGTTGATAAGGATGTATGGGGAAGAGGTATGTGGATAGATCTCTCTGAATGGGCCAACAGAGTAAAGGTATTTGTGTCTCAAATGAATGCCCACCAAAAGGTGACCTTGGCAGAGGAGGACTTTAACAATCAGGTGGATAGGATGACACGTTCAGTGGAAACCAGCCGTCCTCTTTCTCCAGCTACTCCTGTCATTGCTCAACGGGCTCATGAACGAAGTGGCCATGGTGGCAGGGATGGAGGATATGCATGGGCTCAGCAACATGGACTCCTGCTTACCAAGGCTGATTTGGCTACTGCCACTGCTGAGCGCTCAGTCTGCCAACAGCAGAGACCAACACTGAGTGCGTGATATGGAACCATTCCTCAGGGTGATCAGCCAACAACCTGATGGCAGGTTGATTACATTGGACCACTTCTATCATGGAAAGGACAACGTTTTGTTCTTACTGGAATAGATACTTATTCTGGATATGAATTCACCTTCCCTGCATGCAATGCTTCTGCTAAAACTACCATCCATGGACTTACAGAATGCCTTATCCACCATCATGGTATCCCACACAACATTGCTTCAGACTCATTTCACAGCACATGAAGTGCGGCAATGGGCTTATGCTCATGGAATTCACTGGTCTTACCATGTTTCCCACCATCCTGAAGCAGCTGGCTTGATAAAACAATGGAATGGCCTCTTAAAAACACAAATATGGCGCCAGTTAGGTGCAATACCTTGAAGGGTTGGGGCAATGTTCTCCAGGAGGCTGTATATGCTCTAAAC